CAGGCCCCGCGGCACCGCTCGGCGGGGCGGCACCGGGACCCGCCCCCTCATTTGCATCCTCCGCCTCAGACGCCCAATCAGACGCGCCGCTCCCGCACGGGCCGCGCGCGGCTCCGCCTGCAGCGTCACGGCCGCACAGCGCCCGCGGGCAGCCCCGCCTTGCACATCACGTCACTGCGCTACGGTGAAGTCACGCCTGTCGGAACAGCGCACGCTGTTGAAGCTCGATAGTAAAAACGCAATAGAACCGCACTAAGCATTACGTTTCATTTACAAAATTCCCTATTGCCATGCAGTTAAAAATCCAGGCGTCACAAATACCCGTACCTAAACCATACCTTAAGCGTTTTGCAATCAGAAGTCAAAATCCCATTTAAAGAGTATCTTCCTAAAGTAGACTTTCAGAATTTTAGTTTTGCAATACTTCAATCATTGTCTTATGAGCACCTTACAACTAAAAGCTTAGCTTCCTTTTCAATTTACTTATCTTCATACAACATTTTTTGATGGAATAATTAGTGCCACTTCCCAGAAAAGGCCAACTATTAAGCCATAGAATAGAGAAAAGGAATGTCCTGCCTGGAGACAGGGAAAGTATCCAATCAGGAACAAGATGACCCCAGACCCAAATATCACTATTGGACTCAATTGTTGCGTGAAGGAGGGGAACTTAAACTGTAAGGGTACAATTGCCCAGGGATTTCTTTGTTTGGGGTCCCTCCCCGGAGGCACCCAGCTTGCACTGTTTTTCACCACTGCACCACTCAATAAATTCACCTGACGTACCTCGTGTTCAAGACTGTTTCAGGGAAACCTAGGGTCGAGCCTGAGGGGAGAGAAAGCGCCCGAGGGTGAGTGTGTGTGTGAGCGAGGAGTCAGAAAGGGGCAGCTGTCGGTTCAGTGGAGCTGCCCGCTGCAAAGGGACTCTGGTCCAAGCAGTCAAAGTCTCGGGTGGTGCGTGTGCGATCCCCTGAATGGCGTTTGAGTGCTCGGGCAGCGGCTGCCCCTTTTAACAGAACCATGTGTAAAACCGCATCTGGGGTGCCCCGGTTTGAATGGGACACCTCATGGGCACAAAGAAAGAATTGCTCTTGTAATTCGGTACTTTGCGCCCCAGCCACTCTCCTCGGATGGCACAGGCCAGTCGCAATGTTTTCATGACACAACAGGAGAAACGACCGCCTCAGTCCGTGCTCCCTCTACCCCACACCACCAAAGCAGAGGCCCAGGGCACCGCCGCCAGGCAGCACCGCACGTCCCTCGCCTGCTGCTCTGACGCGGATG